GCATATCGGTGAAGCAAGAAGAAAAATCGGCTTACAAATCAAGGAACTGCAAAGACTCTGCACAAACATGAATAGGGAAGGATCGGAAATAGCGGAACACATTGCACGAACGGTACACGAAATCGACAGAAAGGCTGGCTGCATTTGGCGAAAATACGAGAAAACGCAAGACCCTAGAGGCCATCGATATACTGCTCGAGAGAAATATAATGAACTGGAGACTTGAAGAAGGCAGGATCAGCGAATACTTTGCATATTGCCTAAACAAACTCGGAGAAGACCAGGAAACAGAATGATCATCAAAAAGGAGACGACTGGATCAATGTAACATCGTTAATTTTAGGAAAAGAAATTACAATTAGACCAGAAAGAAACAACCAGAAGCCAAGTGGAAATGTCTTCAGTGAGCCTAATCAAAACAAGTAGAACCATAACATTTGTGGGTTGGTATGCAAGAGACTATGACATACGGAGTGATTGGCTTCGTATTATGGATAGAAACGAGATAGACGCAGCGGAGACTAGAGCTAGTTGGCCAATAATAGACGTGGTCCATTAAGCGAGTCTATTGATAGCCAACTATTTATAGGCCTACTCTTAACTCTTTCTGTTGGATCTCTCCTCAAAGGCCTAGACGTGTCATTGTCATTTACATGAACTAGCATCTTTGCTACATAACTCGACTCATCCATGCCAATCACTGCTCCACCTTTTTTGGCTTTCATTACGACTAGATTACCACCACAGAGCTGTCGAGAAAGCCTACTAAAAGGACAGACTTTCTTTGGTGGTTTTATATGCTCAAAATGAGGCATCACCTCCAGTTCAACACCTTTTGCTTACCTCTTCAGGCAATCTTTCAGATAAACTTTATCAAGAATGTACAAAGTGTGGTTTGCCTCATTTGGAAGAGCAAAATTCAATCCTCTTTCCAATAAAAGTACTACGTTATCCTCCAGAGTTGTTCTGATTTAATTGGTTACCTTATCCTTCCCCACTTTGCTACAACCTTGGTTGGCACGACTTACCATAGGCGCAAAGTTTCTCTATTTAATCCTAATTCCTAAATTCCGTAGCTTCGTATCGTCTATCCGCCGAGTCATTCTGTCAGTCGGATAGAAACAGGATTGACGCGGCGGAGACTGGAGCTAGTTGGCTGACAGTAGGTCTACTGTACCATAGACGTGGTCTATGCAGCAAACACATGACGATGACACTCACTCAAAGGCTTTAGCCTCGAATTAGTCAGCCGGACGCAGGTGAGGGTGAATAACGTCTCGTGGAGCACAGATGGGGTGGCAGGGATCGAGTGAAATACGTGAACCAGGGAGAGAGCAGACGGATCTTACGGAGCAAGAGAGAGACTGTGATAAGACCTAGGGAAGGAGGACTGCGTAACAATATGGCAGACTGTGATCAACATTCCCAGCACAAGGGTGAAAGGGGTGATAAAAACAGTGTGGAGTGTGAAGGGCTTTCATGAATGCTGCTCGAAGGAGCACACGACACTACTTTGAATTAAGCACGGTACAAAGTGTGACAGTGAAGGTGTGATAGAAGGATGTAGGAAATGTGAATAGGCCAGGGCAGAAAAAGAGATACCACAACTGTTTGGCACACGTTTGGTCAAAGTATCGGCTTCACTTGTCTCTTTGACGAGTTGTTGAATGGTGCTATGAATGGCGAAACGTCTGGGAATGTACCACGTCCACGGTCCTACTTTGGAAATGATGATGCATACAATCGACTCAGGGCAAGGTGTGCTCCTCTAAGTCTTCCTACCAACATGACCGAGATGCGAAAAAAAGGTCAAACAACTTGTATACGACGAAAGGAGGCTGCGACCACACAAAAGGCCACAACATTTTGGACTTCATTATTTACGATCAAACATCATTTATTCGAGTCCCAGCTGAGGTCGGTTGCGTCAACATGGCCTCACCGAGCCCAGGTCTGCCCAGCACAAACTATCTTCATCACCTCGACCAGAGTTATTCAAATTATCTTCATCAGGAGCACCAATCAAAGTAATATTAGTGCTAATGTGGAAGCATAAGAGGATGTAAAATTGTGGTAAATCTGGTGTAACTGGACGAGAGGAAGTCAATTGGAGATGAGAGTGGTGTGAATTGACCAGAAATCTGAGAATAAAAAGTGAGCCAAAGGGCAACCTTTGGAGGTCAACGTAGCGGAAATAGGTCGCAAGAGTGCTCACGAGACGGTAAAAGATGAAGCAATAAGGAGAAGATGTGGCGAAGCAAAGGGAAAAATTCAATAACTTACAGTCCAATGCAAGAAAGTAATGACGATACCAAAGCTAGTTTCATCAAAGCCATTCAAGTCGAAAATTGAGAAGGCAAGTCTGACTGGGTAGAGAAAAAGAAAGAGGTGAAAGGTAGAGTCAAAGTGGAAGAGATCAAGACGACTAGTCATTTAGAATGGAGGAAAATAGAATTGATTGATGAATAACCGAGTAGAGTCAAATTGAGTCGAGTCAAGTCGAGAAAATTAAGGTCAAATGGAATTTTCTAAGGAACGAGTTTGCTCAAGTCGCGTAGCTTTAAGTCGAATTGAAACAATTCGAGTGCTTGTGGATCAATGCATGAAGCAGCGATTCAAGCTGAGACGAAGCGAGTCGGCTCAAGTCGCGTCGCGTCGAGTCAAGACAATTCGAGTCCTTTTGGATCGAGGCATGAAGCAGCGAGTCGGCTCAAGTCGCGTCGCGTCGCGTCGAGTCGAGTCGAGACAATTCGAGTCCTTTTGGATCGATGCATGAAGCAGCGAGTCGAGCTGAGACGAAACGAGTCGGCTCGAGTCGCGTCGAGTCGAGTCGAGAGAATTCGAGTCCTTTTAAATCGATCCATAAAGCAGTGAGTCGAGTTAATTCGAGTCGAGTTGACTCGATTTCAATCGAGACGACGCATACTCTCTTGAATATCTTATCCTTTTCGTTGTT